GCCCACATACTCCCCTCACTATCCCACTCTCATCAACAACTCCCATCCAACCCCCTAGGACGTTTAAAACAACAACAAATACATCATATTTACCTATTTATTTGATTATTAAAGCCACAAAAGAGATTTTGGTGATAAATAAGTAAGGAAATCTTTGGTATATGCATAAGGGGCAGGGGTTAATCCCTAATATATATTCTATAATATACGCAAAAGCCAAAGAAAAAATGCAGATTCCGACTAAAAATAGATGTAAATTTTTATAACTATTTTTACGCAACAAATTAACAAAGGAAGTAATAGCCATATCTTTTATTTTTTTGGAAAATTGTCTAAGAATATTATTACAAATTCTAGCGTTATAATGAAAAACGGATAAAATAGCCTTTTATCCGTAATTATTGAATTAAGGTTAATTATTACAGGGCTATTGTAGTACATTTTTTCATGATTAATTTTACTTTTAAGGAATTTGAGAGATTATAAAAAATAGTGACTTGCAAATGTTTAACTTCCAAACTGTTGATCAAACCTGAATTCGGTATAAGTAAATTATAGCGAATTCAGTACCGATATCGCAACAATCAGGTTGAGGGCGTACTTTCTACCTGATTATTATATACTACAATAGATTTAAACTTTCTGGTCCATATTCTCCCAGTTTTGTGATACTTCCTCAGCGACGTCATTTACGGTATCAATTATTTTAGATGACGCATCATAAGCCATATTGGCAAAATCTTTAGCATTATTAATAGAAGTTTCGCAAGCAAATTTAAAATATTTTTGTTGAAAGTCTCTGACTTGATTTAAGTCTCCTGAAGACATCGCTTCTTTTGCTGAATTGAGCATATTCATAGTCCCCAACTGGAAAGCTTCGGAATTTTTTTGTATCATAGACTGTAGAGATTCGGCTGCAATCTGGGTAGTAGTAGACATTATTTTTGCACTTTTACTTATTGTGTCCGACATAGTAGTAAAATCTGTAGCAGGGAGGCTTTTTAGAGAGTTTATATAAAATTCTGGATTCATAAAATTTTTCATCATGTCCAGTAAGTGAGTTGTATTTTTATCAATCATTGTAGCTTCCCTAATATTTAATTGAATTTAACTTAAATTCAATTATCCTTTATTCTCTATTATAATATAAGTTAATGTATTTATATTAAGAATAGTTATTTTTATCAAATAAATTTGAACTAAATTAAGTTAAAAATTTGTAATTGCTTAGTACGTATATAGTTTTATGTTAGCATTTATAAAAATGTGAGTCAATAATTCTTAATTTCGAAAATTATAAAACTTTAATATTATTGCAATAATGATATAGAGCTAAATACCGTAGACGATCAGAACCTACGAAAAAACATATTATTAATTTATACTACTCATCTTTCAAGAATTGGATATTATCGTAAACTTATGTGCTCATATACTGAAATGTACGCTCCGCGCTCGCCACGGCCAAATACAATAAGGGTTTGTGGAGTACGAGCAGTATACTCATAATCAATTAAGTTAAATTAGGGGCTGGGAGGGAAGCGCAAAGCAGTGATACGCTAGAAGAGCAACAAGTGATCATACAACCAAAAATTTATATTAATTGACTATGTATAGCATTCCCTCCCTCAACTCATACACTCTATGCATTTTATATGCTAACTGATGATTGTGAGTTACCATAACCATACCAGTATTTTTTTGCTTAGTCAGATTAAGAAACAACTCAAAAACTTCTCCAGCCGCAATTGAATCTAAATTACCGGTGGGTTCATCAGCCAGAACAACTGATGGGCTATTAATTAAAGCTCTAGCGATAGCCACTCTTTGTTGTTGTCCTCCTGATAATTCACCAGGCATATTATTCTTCTTTGTTGCTAAACCTAAATCGGTCAGTAATTTTTCTGCTTCTTGAAGGGCTAATTGATAATCACTGCCTGCTATTAATTTAGGCATAGCTACATTTTCTAAAGCTGTAAAATCTTTCAATAAATGATGGTGCTGATAAACAAATCCTATATGTAACCGCCTAATTAAATCAAGGTTATTTGGTGAAATTGCACTAGAAATGATTTCTACCTTCCCTCTATCTGCACTATTAAGCAAGCCAGCTATATGCAATAAAGTGGATTTACCACTTCCGGAACTACCAATTATTGCAACGATCTCTCCTTGGCGTATAGTCAGATTTATATCCTTAAGTATCTCAATGGTAGTCTTGCCTTGTCTATACTTCTTAGCAACATTTTGTAATGTTAATACTATCTTACTCATAACGTAGCGCATCTACTGGATTTAACTTAGCCGCCTTATAAGAAGGATAAATAGTAGCACAGAAACAAAGTACTATTGAAATAGAGGAAACTAACAATATATCTTCCGCTCTAACTTCTGAGGGCAAGTTATATAAAAAATAAACAGCTGCGTCAAATATTTTAGTACCAGTAATTGTTTCTAAAATATTTCTAATAGATTGGATATTATAAGCAAAACCAATCCCTAATATAATACCTAAACCTGTCCCTAGCAGTCCAATTAACATACCATTACAAATAAAAATTAGCATAATTTGTCGAGTAGTAGCGCCCATAGTACGCAAGATCGCAATATCTGATACTTTATCTTTAACTAGCATAACTAAACTCGAGACAATGTTAAAAGCAGCTACCATAATTATTAACGACAGAATAGTGAACATAACCACTCTCTCAACTGCTAGAGCGCTTAAAGTCTGTACATGAGTTCTTTGCCAACTATTGACATTAAGGTCTGCACCTAAAAGCTTTTGTATCTGTAAAGCATATATTTCAGCATTTGCAGGCTTGATTGTTTTTATTTCGATCAAATTAATATCTTGCTCAAAAGTTAAGAAATTTTGAGCAGCTATAAGAGGCATTAAGATTGTAGCAGCATCATAATCATACATACCGCTAGTAAAGATAGCAATAACTATAAATTCCTTTGCCCTAGGCATACTACCAAAAACAGTAGAAATTGAATTTGGAGAAATCAGCTTTATTTTTTCGCCTACTTGTAGTCCTAAACTGTAAGCCAGCTCGATTCCTACTGCTACTACATCTTTATTGGTAAAATCATTAAAACTACCTGCATTAGTATTATGAAGAATTTCATTTTTATATTTTAGGTCTGCTAAATCTAATCCTCTAATAATTACCCCACTATTTATTCTAGGGCCAACAGCAAGAGCCTGACCTATTATTCCCGGAATTATATGCTTAACATAATGTAGAGTCAGTAGTTTTTCCTTGATTTTACTATAATCGGTAATAGAACGTTTTAGAGGATTAATGGTAATATCGCCGCTTAGACCTATAATATTTTTGGTTAATTCATGATGAAAACCGTTCATAACGGACATTACTACTATTAATGCAGCTACTCCTATGGTGACCCCTATTAAAGAAAAACTAGAAATAATTGAAACAAAACGTTCATTTTTTTTAGCTCTAAAATAGCGGATCGCCAATTTGAGAATAAAATTATCGCTTATCATCTTGACACTTCTTTATTTTTAGCAGGTTTCTAGCAAAAACGTGATCTATATACTTAATCTATATATAAATTTATATCTGAATGTTTTATCCATTTTAGCTGAGACGCTTTATTAGGAATAAAGAAATATACCAATAATAACCAGGGTCATCCCTACTAAAGCAACTAGCTGGGCAATGATTATGGGAGGTTTTTTATGGAATATACCATACCCTAACCAGCTTAAAGTAGCAATGATCACGACCAGAAAACCATCAAGTGATAAATCGCCTGCGCTTTGAGTAGTAAACACTTTATATGCTTGAGCATAAAATAAATATTGCCCTAATATACCCGCAAATACCATATATTTATCATATAAGGCAAGCATTTGCTTCTTTCGATCTTGTTCTTGTTGCATCATAATAATCTTAAATTATAGAGAGGATATAGCGAATTTAAGTTAACTTTAACAATTTATTCATCCGGATTATCTACATGCTGTTTTTCATAGTTTTCATGACGTTCCTGTGCTTCAATACAAAGAGTTGCAACCGGTCTCGCTTCTAAACGTTTTAGTCCTATTGGTTCGCCCGTCTCTTCACAATACCCATACTCATTCTTACCTATTCTCAGCATAGCTTCATCAATTTTATCAATAAGTTTACGATACCTATCCCTAGTACGTAGTTCAATTGCTGTATCCGACTCAATGGAAGCACGATCATTAAGGTCAGGCTCATTCCAATTTTCTTCTTTTAGGTGAAGTAATGTCTCGCGGGATTCCTCTAATAAAGAGTTTTTCCAGGTAAGGAGCTTTTGCCTAAAATATTCTAATTGATAAGGATTCATATATTCTTCCTCATTAGCAGGTCTATAACCTTGGGGTAAAATAATTTTAGGCATACTAACCTCATTGCTTAAGAAAATTTTTAAACAATATAACGTATAATCAAAAGTGATGGCAAGAAGATTATATTATTCTTTTTTAGCGTTTGTTATTGGATGAGCAATATTATATACATTTTCTAAATGTTGCAAACTAATTTTAGTATAACGCTGGGTAGAGGATAAGCTGTTATGTCCAAGTAATTCCTGAATAGATCGCATATCCGCACCATTTTCAAGTAAATGCGAAGCAAAACTATGCCTAAAAGAATGAGCCGAAAGGTGTTCAGGTAGGCCATAAATACGACGTAGTTTTATTAATTCGCGATTAAATACTGCAGGCTGCAACTTTTTACCTAATTGTCCTCTAAATATAGGCTCAGTATCGTTTATATTATATGGTAATTTATTTAAATATTGTTCTATTAAAATCCGTGATACTGGCAGCCAAGGGATGAGACGTTCTTTCTTTCCTTTCCCTATTATTTTAAGAAAATCTAAGTCTTGGAAATGGGTTTTGGTTATTGATAAAGCTTCAGAGATCCGCAGCCCTGTAGCATATATCAAGACTAAAAGAGCTTTGTTTCTTAACTCTACCCACTCTAAATGGGCAAATGCAACAATATGCTTAATAGATAAGTGGGACTCCTCTTGGGATAAAGCTTTGGGGAGTATGTGAGCTTTTTTAGGATGTTTAATCGATATAATAGCATGGCAAGCTATTAGATTGATTTTTTCTAAATATTTGTAGAAGTTCTTTACTGCTGATAAGCTGCGGGAGTTAGAAGCAGCAACATAATTAAATTGTTGTCTTTTAGCAAGCCAACTACGTACTAATCTTATATCAATCAACTTAATGGAGTTAATAGTAACAATTTCAGCGCTATATTGATTGATGAAACCTAAAAAATTTAATAAATCATTCTTATAAGAGATAATAGTATGTTCTGAATAATTTTTTTGTAATTTTAAATATTGTTGCCAATTGTTTATTAACTCTAATACTTCTGGTGTTGTTGTGTGAATCATTTTTCCTCAATATCTTAAATAGTACTACTTCTGCTGGTAATTTGTACGTTGAGTCTCGGATCAAATCTTCACGTATACTTAAGTACGTTGCGGTTTGAAGCGAAGAGTCTCCTTCAAATTTCCTGCGCGATGAGAGTTTCGCAAGAGGTCTAATGTAGAAAATGAATTATTCGCAAGCAGAACCTACTTTCCTATGCAAAAATTACTAAATATCTCGCCTAATATTTCTTCTACCGTAATCTTGCCTGTAATATTACTAAGGCTTCTAATCGCCATTCTAATATCCTCAGTAGCTAGCACTAAGTCATTTGTAATATTAAAATTTTCTAAATACCTTAAGGCTTGTTCTACCTCCTGTCTGTGCCTTTGCCGCGTAATATGAGGCAGTTCAGTTAAACCTGCTACATTATGGGCAATATGTTCAATCTTCTTTAATAATTCCCTTAAACCAATATTTTCTTTTATGGAAATTGGTAAATAGTGCTTATTTAAAGAAAGTAATAGAGGGAACAATAAATCTTGTTCCTTTTTATTAGGAAATAAGTCAATTTTATTTATTAATATGATAGTATTGTCATCTATTAGCTCTATAATACTATGCAATTCCTCAAGATACGAAGAAGATTGAATTAGCTTTATAGCATCAAGTATAATTATTTTGATATCTGCTATTTTCGCTGCAACCATGGCTCGCTTAATCCCTTCTAATTCTACTACATTTCTACTTGCCCTTATACCGGCAGTATCTTGCAATATAATTGGATAGCCCCCTATATCTAAATGTCCTTCAATAATATCGCGAGTTGTTCCTGCAACATCTGATACAATAGCGACATCTCTTTGCATTAAAAAATTCAGCAAGCTAGATTTCCCAACATTGGGAGCACCAAGAATAGTTAATTTGATACCACTACGTAATAACTCACCGCGTCTGTTATCATTAAGATGTTTGCTGATAGTATTTTTTAGTTGCGTAGTTAAGGCTACAACCTCATTTAATGTATCTGGGGGTATATCCTCGTCGGGAAAATCAATATATGCCTCTAATAAGCTAATGATGGTAAGCAAAGATTTCTTCCAGCTATTATAAAGTTCTTCCAGCTCTCCTCCAAATTGTTTTACCGCCTGTCTATGTTGCCAAATAGTTTCTGCCTCAATTAAATCCGCAATACCTTCAGCTGCGGTTAAGTCAAATTTATTATTTAAAAATGCTCGGCGTGTAAATTCTCCAGCTTCTGCTAGGCGCTCCCCTTCCATATTTAACAATTCTTTACTAAGCAGGGTAGCGATGGCTATACTACCATGGGTATATATTTCTACTATATCTTCGCCAGTAAAACTAGCTGGGGCCTGAAAATAAGCTACCATTGCATTATCAATTAATTCATGAGTTTGGGGAATGATAAGTTTTTTGTAATACATAACCCTAGGAATAAATTCTGAATTATCATATTCTAGTAAATACTTTAAAGCAGATAAGCTTTTAGGGCCAGAAATCCGAAAAATTGCCACTCCGGCTTTGCCAGGTTTAGAACTTTGCGCAAAAATAGTATCCACTATATTTACTCCTTTCAATTTAAGTGGTTTAAAAGTAATGTAAGGGAATTTCTAACTTAAAAAATATTTGGCAACTTTTATTATTTAATATAATATAACTTAAGAAATTTTGCTGTAATGATTCAAGGTTTTTGAGCGTATACTATAGCCTGCGGTATTTAGCACTTCCATAATGCAAAAACTTAAAAAATTGGTAAGCAATTTGCGGATAGGTAGGAAATAAGTAAAGATTTTACAATAATATAAATAACAGATTTGAGCAAAAGATGGAAGCGCTTTGGGTTTTTTGCACTTGTTCCAATAAAATATCATGGTAACCAATATGACCGTCGAGAAGAAATCTTTAGCGTTAAGCAAGCTTACTTGTCAAATTCCTAATTATAAATCAGAAATTTTAACTCTGGGTAAAGCGCAAAACACTGATAAACTTTATAGTGAATTTATACAAAAATTTCTAGACTACATTCCTATAGATTATGAGTTTCAAGATAAGCTAGAGTTATTTGGTAATTTAGCATTGGATGCTTTCGAATTTTTTAAACAAAGAGATCCTAATACCCGAAAGTTGCAGATAGTTAATACTACAATAGAAAATAATCCTGCTATTAATATTTTGTTATTAAATGATAATAAGCCATTTATAATTGATTCAATTAATTGCTTGTTAACAAATTTTAATTTAAAAGCTAAATTTCTGCTCAATCCAGTAATATCCAACGTTCGGAATAACCAGGGACAATTACAGAAAATAGTAGAGCATGAAGAAGATAACAGTCATAAGGAATCTCTATTACATATCACCTTACTAGGAAATTTTGATCAAGCTGCTATATCATCTCTACGTTCCTCTTTAAATATGGTTTTAGATCAAGTAGATACTACCTATAACGTATGGCATATAATCCTTGAAAAAATAGACTTAATTGTACACTCTATTCAAGGTAAGCATCTATCATATACTAAGCAAAATTTAGCTTATCAGGAATCGCTTGATTTCTTAAATTGGTTAAAACATGATAATTTTACCTTCTTAGGTATGATTGATTTTGATTTAACCTCACAAAATTTC